GACTAGGCGGTAGCTAAACACATTTGAAACGAAGTACCCCAGAGGAATTTGAATGATTTTGATTTAGATGAAGGGATACACTAGCTCTGTTTTATTTGGACTTAATTTGGACTTAATTTTCTCATTGAAGCATTAGACCAGGGAAACGAATCATACATTCAGGACTCCTTTATCCTTTTACCACTCTCTGTTGATCCTGAATGGCTAGTTCATCTTTAGCTAGTTCCCCACCTTAACCAATCCTCTTTCAAACCACATGCACTCTTGTTTTCTATTGTCTTATATGCAGATAAGTGCAAAAACGTTAGAGAGAAAGAGGAACGACGCAGTTTTCAATCACCAAGGACAGAGACCTGCGATTTGCCGGAATAGTTCCCGGAAGGATTCAACACAAGAGGAAGCTCAGTTTGCCTTAGAAAAATCTCAAATTTTGGTACAATCTCGTCCTCTAGTCTCTCTCTCTTTAAAAGGCATTTCCTTTCCAAGAAAAAAAAAATCCAAAAATAAGAAAAGAAAGGAAATAAAAGCCTTAGAGAGTCTAGAGAGGTCGAATTTTAAGTCCCAAGGCAACTAGAGTTTGATTTTATGGAGTTTTGGAGATTGTTTTCTGATTCCCGGAAAGAATCTAAGTCTGGGGGAACAGCTGTTTACAACAAAGGAGGAAGGATTATGCAACAACATTTGGCAAGAAGAAGTGACTGAAAACTGTGGTCATCAACAGGTCCTTATCTCTCTTGCTGTTTTGCATATTATCTTGCATCCTCCAAATCTTCAGGTAACCCGAAACACTTTAACTCCACCACTTAAATAGCCCTTTAATGCCAAACGCCGTCTACCCTGGATGATGTCTTTAATGAGAACTCACTATTGAAATTAATGAATGTAGAGAGCTAGTTGACTGAAATCAAGATTTAAATTGTTTAAGTTTTGCATGACGGAAAAAATGGACTAGTATCTCTTGTGCTTTGGTGAGAATTTTCTAGACTAAGTTGTGGATTGATGCACTATCTTTGGTCCTAATTTAGAGTTCATGTCTATGAGATTTGTGCATTTCCTATTTTTGTTTTCACTTAACCAGTTTAGGCTTTTGCTTTGTTTGAGGACAAACAAAGGTTTAAGTCTGGGGGAGTTGATAACACCGTATTTTGACCACTTTTATGGATCGTTTTGAAATATTTTTTCTATGTTTTTAATTGCTTTTAAGTACTTTTATTACGTTTTTCTAGTATTTGTAGTTCCAAGACTCTTTTCAGCTAACTTAGGGAAAAGCTTAACAAAATGGATAGAAAACCATATTTCAGCTCAGAGTCAAACCGTCAGAAGTTCACCCCTGATTGAAGGCCTTCTCACCGTCTGATCCAGCTCAAATTTGGAGACCTTAAAGATGGAAGTATCAGCTTTCCATTGCACTTTACAGCTTGGCAATCCAACGGTTCAATCAAAAGATACGCGAAGAGCAAGATGTCCCGTAAACCAGCCGGCAAGCACTTCCACCCGCGGCCAACAACCCATTCCCCGCGGTCAGAGCACTCCCGACCGCGGCCATCAACCTCCGAGCCCAAAAAGCCCATTTCTGAAGCCCACATTTGGAGAAACCCTAAGTGACGTCCAGAGAGGTCTTGAGCACTATAAATACATGTCTTAGGAACCCTAAATCGGGCAACCTTAGAGAACCGAATTATTTAATTCATACTTTTATTGTTTTTGCTTTAGCTTTTAGGGAGAGAGAGATTTGTTCTCTTGAACTCTTGTTCTTTCTTTTTCAATTTCGGTTTCTATTCTACTTCTTAATATTATGTCTTTAATTTTGTTCATTATGTCTGAGTAGTTTTATTGTTGGGATTAAGAGATTTTCGATGGGGATACATATGTTCGATGAGGATTCCATTGGCTATTGAGCCGAATCTTAGAACTTTTTCTTCTGAATTCGTTTTTACGGCATGAGAGTAGCGTCATGAACTACAATCTGACCCAGATGCTTGGTGACACAAAAGTGTTCATCAGGTATCATATCTAGTTTGGGAGAGCAAAACAAACATAGGAGTGGAAACCTACCTATGGGCGATTTGTGAATTAGGACGAGTCTTAAACATAATGCATCTCTTCTCTTCCAAGGCCAGAGTGGAAACCTACTGGTCAGGGTTGAGAGAGATAGTTGTCTATGATCACGACAGTGGCGTATTCATACGTCTGTGACTCCAGTTCAAAAAGTTTAAGCTAAGATCTTATCAATTTTACTCTCTAGCAATGTTTTGAATCGTCCGTACCCCTGAGAAAACTTCCCTGAACCCCAACGCTTTCTTCTTCATTGTTTTACACCGATTTTCTTTAAAGCTTTAGTTCAATATTGTCTTTCCTTTTTAGTTCATTTTCATTTCAGCATTAGAATATCCGCTTTTATTATTTTTAGTCATTTTCATTAAGTTTAGTTATTACGTCATTTAATTCCCATATTTTCTTTTAATATTTCGTTTTTACATTTTAAACACACTACCAAACCCCCACTAAACCGTTTTTGTTCTAGACTTCCTTACTTTAACTTATTTCAAAGGCTTTTTGCAGGAAAAGATCCTCCTTCCCTGTGGATTCGATCCCTAAGTAATACAATCGATCAACTGTGCACTTGCGGCTATTGATTTCAATTAGGGTAAAACTTGACAACCCTCGACACACACACACATCAAGTCCAACACCCACAATCATTCGTCATCTAGTTAAATACGTTCGGACAAGCGCTGGCTCCGTCTTCTTCTTTTCCTTCTATGCCAGCTCACCTCCCACTTCTTCATTCTCTTCTTCTCCTTCATCACCTTGCTCTTCTCCTTCTTCTCCTTCATCATCTTGTTCTTCTCCTTCCTTCTCTTCTCCAAGACCTTCTCTTGGAATTTCCGCTTTCACATAAGATTCAACGTACTTCAATCTATTATCAATGCCATCGATGAGGTCTCTCATTTAGAGGAACTTCTCATCCATACTCCTCTCAACCCTTGAATCTGGTCCACAATCCCACTCGGCGCCAGAGATTTAGAGGAGGCATTCTTCGCTGGTTCAACTCGATTTTTTTTCATCGTCCAAGCTCATATCCTTCCAGAATATCGGCTTCTCATCATCAATTATACAACTCGTCCAATTATCAGGAATTGTATCACTGTTATCGGGGTCTTCATACCTTTCCATGATACCAGCTAACATATCTTCCTCATCAGCAGATGGTTGCAAGATACTCTGGATATCTTTGGTATTACCAAGTGTTTCGTAGAGGTCCGACAGAGGAAATCCTATGAGAGTGAATGGTCTGAACTTGGTCTTACACATCCGAGGACACCCTATGTCTGCTCCTCTAGCTTCTTCTCTGTATGTGTCCTTCAGACAAGGTATTGCTTCAAAAGGTAGCAACTCCAGGGGAGTAACAAAGCCAGGAAATGTCCAAGAATCAGTTTCGACGATCCCATTGAAGTGCCTTAATGTATGATTAATTTCCTTGAGATTCACATCAAATGAATACCTACCCCCAAGGAAATGTTCTACACGCATCGAGATCTTCTACAATCCTCAAGAAAAAAGGGTCTACCGAGGGAGCTCCCTTCCCAGTCTTAGCCTTACCACCTAACACGCTTGCAAGAAAGTACAAAACACATATTCTTAAGCGATCAGGACCACCACACATCTTTTCAAGCTTCTCTTTAACAACAGCAAGTGATGGGACAGTTCCTTTCTTAAAATACTTCTCCTTAAAATCACTACTGCCCATCTTCTCATAATTCTTTGGATAATCATGACAGTCTAATCCAGATATGAGTCCATGTTCCTTAAGCGAATACCGAATTGGAACTCCATTAACAACAAACCAACACTTTCTCCTCTTGTTTGTCTTTCCTGTGCGTAGAAGGAGCATCCATATCCCTTGAGTCTTATGGGTTGTATCCAAATACATGGCCTTGTGCATATGCCAGAAGTGCTTGAATTGAGGATGCTCGCTAAACCATCTTAGCTTCTCCGGTCTCAGCCCCAGAGATGCCGACTCCAGATTCTCCACTGCTTTGTGGATCCAACACTGAGTACCTAACTTTATTGCCTTGTTGTATTGATTTGGACTAAAATACATACTCAGCGGTTGCATTGCCGGCTGGTTTTCCTCATCATTACGCGTTGCTCATTACACGCTTGCTCCTCAACCTCATTACGAAAGCGTAATGGCTTCCACAGCGTTAATTGAAGCGACTCACTATCTCCTCCGAATGATGCCATTACAGTATTTCTACCAAGTTAAGACACATCTAATTATCACCCCACACATCAATCAAATTGAACTGAACTCAAATTTTGCACGTAAAACTAATTTCAGTTCCTCGTTCCTAAACCCAGGTATCAGACACTACAGATTCATTCGTAAGCCTTCTGCCTAAGATAAGTAACAGCAAAAAGGTAAAAATGAAGAAGAACGGAGAACAAACCTGATGCGAATTTGAAGATTGTGACCATTTTAGAAAATTGAAGACTTCTTGTTCGTAGTACCCTCGTAATTGTACCTAATGGAACGAAATTTCCAGATATGACCAGTTTAGGGTTATTCAAATTTAGACCTGAAATCGGATCCGGTATAGCTAACTGGGTGTGGATATTTGATCAATCACTGGTTTGGTCAGTAAATATTATGATGTTCTAAGGGTGACTGAGTATTTTCTCGCTTTTCCGATTTGAAAATAATTCAAAACTAAATTAATTTTTATAATGCTGGTATATGAGAATAAATTGTTTGGTCAAACTGGCACATGAGAGTTTGTTTCGAAATTTTTAGTTTCTTTCAGATTGTTATTTGATTTAATGTTTAAGAAGCAAAGCTACTGATTTGGCAATTTGAGATAAAATATTGAGAATATGATGTGGACACTCTTAGAAGCCTCAAATAGCTACTTTTATTAGAGTAAATTTCAAAATAATTGTTATTTAATTTAATGTTCGAGAAGCAAAACGATGATGTGATAAATTAAAACAAAATATTGAAAATTTGATATGGACACTCAGATAGCTATTTATTAGAGTAGATTTTTTTAGATTATATGGTCTTTAACAAAAAGAATTAGTAAAGTTAAGTGTCGACTACAAATTGGAATTGTTTAATAGGTAGTTAATGACTTGAGCCAAGATAACATTACAACGACGAGTTTTCTAAACAGTAAACCTCAGACAAGACTAAATCTTGCGACGTGTTCAACAACTTCGCGGATTTGAGGGTTTCACCATATGCTGCAATGAGCAACGCTTCAGCTCGTCCATGGTCCTTTTTCCTCTTGAGTTGCGAACTAAGAGAAGGAAATAGTTCCGACGCAACTCGTCTACTATCATCCTGTACAAAAAAAAAATCTTTATTTTCAAATGAGAGGTTCCCTTTTAAATCTAAAACATTTGACAATAAAGATCAATTACCTTTGTGCAGTTTCCACCAGCAAGTTGAAAATGCCGCTTCCATACAGATGAAGGAACCGGAACGACCGAAAAGCCTGATGCAACAAGTGTTCCTATCCAAAATCCATATCCAAAACCTCCACTATACCAACCCTAATACAGAGAATTCACACAATCATTTATCAGTTTTGACAGATAAACATCATAATCGAAGAGAAGATGAGTTTTGTTGACCTGTTTTCCATCTTTGGGAAAGGGAACCGATTGCTCAATATATGCTGTACTTCCTGCATTGTTGAACACAGAAATTTGTAAACTGTTTCTAAATTCTACCCAATGAAACACAACAACAAAGAGAACGTGAACCATCTTCTTCTTACCATGGGGTATATCTAAACTTCGAATCAGTTGAACAATCGACTTTGCATCCAAACGTTTCCGTACTCTTTTTCCGATTAAAACCGGCAGGTGAGGAGTATCAAAGACCTAATTCCGGATTTAACAAACAAGCAGGAAAAAAAATATATCAACTTTGGTTAACAAATCTGGTTCTATTCAAAATGATTCATATGATTTCCTTCATATTCTCCTCTTTTCCCACAAATTACAATAGAACTTTGTAAAGATGCAGTATTCCACTCACAACTCTGAAATTCTCACTTCTTTACAGAGATTTTGCTTTTCATAAAATCTCTCAAATTACATAACCCAATATGCTAATTAAACCAACACAATTCTGAATTCCCCAAATGGGTTAACTTTAAAAATCATTTCTCAGAACCCTAAAACCCCATATAATCAGAGATAAATTGCAAAATTTAAGATGCTCATTAGACCAACTCCAATTCTGAATCACAAAACCACCATAGTTTCACCAATCTAGGGTTTATGATCCCAAAGAAAAGTAGCGAGACTGACCTGAGCTTCAGAAGAACCAGAGATGTGGTTAATTTTCAAAAAGGCCAGAGCACCGGACAAGTCTGGGTCAATCCCAATGACACAACTTGACTCAGTATTCTCCCGAGTCACCATGTCTTCTTCTAGTGAGGGTAGAGTCAGGGAATCCAACCATTTCTCCTTCATCAACGCTGCGTCGATGGCTTTCGTCTTTGTAGGAAGAGCGCAAAACGCGAGACTCCGCCGCCGCCGGAACGGAGCAGTGAAAGACGACGGCGAGTAAGAAAGGAAAGGTCTAAGCTTAGAGAAGAGGCTATACATCTGAGGCTGTGACGGTTGACCGTACGCCGTTGGCATCACAGGAATCCCCAAATTGAATAAAACACTCACTCACTCTCGTTTGATAATTTTGAGATATTTTTATTTTTGTATTCTGCATTTGGTTTTAGTGTGATGTTCATTTGTCCTAAAAGTACGAGCTAAAAAATTTTGCAAGTCTCCAGTATAAAAATTAGGGAAATTCTCATTAAAAATAAAAAATTGGAGGTTTAAGTTAGAAACTGCTGAATACTTTACGGTTTTTTATGGAAATTTCCATTTAATCTAAGTTTATATATTTATCTCTAGTTTATTTATATTTCCTAAAATTTATGTTTAGTGTTTTTTAATGACAACACCCAAAATATTTTCTTGCTTGTATCATTTTTCTTGAGTCATAGTGTATATTTTAATACTTTTCCGTATTTCAACCCTTTTGCTTTACTAATTTACTTTGCAATTGGGGTAGTTCAAGTTTTTGTTAGAGAACTTTACTAAATCTTAGGACAATTCTTGGGTTCACTTTTAGAGGTGAATCTCTTTATTCATCCCATTGATTTTTAACCAATCAAAACATATTATTTAATTTAAAATAAAAATAAACATTAAACAATTAAAGTAAGTTGACTTTTTTATCGCAGAAATTTTTTGATTTATTATTCAAACATAATTATTCGAATTAGTCATTAAAATAATTCTTTATTTACTTCCTCTTTATTTTATTCAATGAAAGCAATCAACTAATAAAATTAATTAAAATAATTTATCAAAATAGCATAATTTAAATTTTTTTTTCCAGTGGAGAATAACTAAGCCCTAAATTAGAAATAGTGAATCCAAACATAATATTAAACTTTATTTATAATTTATTTTCGATGAACATATATTTTTTACATAATAATTTTTCTATTTTCAAATTTTAAACCCTAATCTCTAAATCCTAAACTCTAATCTTTATACCCTAAACCATAATATGTAAATATTTAAAAAATTAAAAATAAAAAATAAATCTAAATCTCTAAACTCTAATCTGTAAACCTTAAAAATATTAGAAATAAAAACGAAACCCTAAACATTAATTCCTAAATCCTAAATTCTAATTTTGTTAACCCGAAAAATATATATCAATATTTATATATATTATTTCTTTATATATAAAGATATATACTTTTATAAAAGATTTGAGTAAGTGTTTTAATTGTTTAATTTATTTTTTATTAAAAATAATATTAGATGGCACATTTTAATTGGCTAAACTAAGAGGGGGTGAATAAAAAAGTTCACCTCTAGGGGATTTAGATATTAGGATTTAAAATTTTGAAAATAAAAAAAAAACATTATGTAAAAAAAGATAAGTTTATCAAAAACAAATTATAAAATAAAGTTTAATATTATATTTGAGTTCAGTATTTCCAATTTAGGGAGTTAGTTTTCCCCCATTAGAAAAAAATATTAAAATGTGCTATTTTGATAAATTATTTTAATTAATTTTATTATTTGGCTGATTTTCATTGGTTAAAATAAGAGGAAGTAAATAAAAAATTGTTTTAATGACTAATTCGAATTATTTTGTTTGAATGATAAAAAAATTAATTTTCTGTGATACAAAATTCAATTTACCTTAATTGTTTTACTAAGATAATATTCAATTTTATTCTAAATTAGATGGCATGTTTGATTGGTTAGAAAACAAGAGGGTGAATAAAAAGATTCACCCCTAGGGGTGAACCCAAGAATTGTCCTAAAATTTTGCATCCTATCATGATTTCATAGAGATTACGGGTTAACTAAGTAGACTTCTATTAGACGTTAAGAACACCTCCGATGAGAGGTTTTGGAAGAGGTTCTTAGCAATAAATTAAAGAAAAAAATAAAAAAGTAAGAGAAAGATTATAGAAGAGATTCTTAAAGTTCTTATTTAAAAACCATATTTTAGAAAAGCTCTACAGCTGTCAACTTTTTATTGGTGTATCTTTTAATAAAAAAATTAAATCAAATAATTAAATTATATTAACATAGTAATATTTTAATTTTAAAAACCTTTTTTGAGGTTCTAACTGATGGAGATGGTCTACGGGAGATACATGAGATAAGGGAAAAATTAAGGGTAAGAAACAATAGATTCTACATAAACCTTACTAGACGCAACCATTTTCTGGATAGTTTGCATATATTAACTGAATTACATAGTCTTAATTCTCGTCTTTTTTTTTAATTGACAACCAAACTATTAAATTAGAAAGCTGAAGTTGAAACCTAAACCGGAGGAATAGTGTTTACAAAGGAAGAAACTTTATTCGTTATTCTAGCACTATGAACTAAACAGTTTCTGATATGCCGGATTGATGCTTCTTGGATCAATCACGGACTGGTTAGTGGCCTCGGGTGGAGTTTCAAGGATGGCAAAAGAAAGTTTAATATTATGTTTGAGTTCAGTATTTCCAATTTAGGGCTTAGTTTTCCCCCATTAGAAAAAAATATTAAAATTTGCTATTTTGATAAATTATTTTAATTAATTTTATTATTTGGCTGATTTTCATTGGTTAAAATAAGAGGAAGTAAATAAAAAATTGTTTTAATGACTAATTCGAATTATTTTGTTTGAATGATAAAAAAAATTAATTTTCTGTGATACAAAAGTCAATTTACCTTAATTGTTTTATTAAGATAATATTCAATTTTATTCTAAATTAGATGGCATGTTTTGATTGGTTAGAAAACAAGAGGGTGAATAAAAAGATTCACCCCTAGGGGTGAACCCAAGAATTGTCCTAAAACTTTGCATCCTATCATGATTTCATAGAGATTACGGGTTAACTAAGTAGACTTCTATTAGACGTTAAGAACACCTCCGATGAGAGGTTTTGGAAGAGGTTCTTAGCAATAAATTAAAGAAAAAAAATAAAAAAGTAAGAGAAAGATTATAGAAGAGATTCTTAAAGTTCTTATTTAAAAACCATATTTTAGAGAAGCTCTACAGCTGTCAAATTTTTATTGATCGGTGTATCTTTTAATAAAAAAAAATTAAATCAAATAATTAAATTATATTAACATAGTAATATTTTAATTTTAAAAACCTCTTTTTGAGGTTCTAACTGATGGAGATGGTCTACGGGAGATACATGAGATAAGGGAAAAATTAAGGGTAAGAAACAATAGATTCTACATAAACCTTACTAGAAGCAACCAATTTCTGGATAGTTTGCATATATTAATTGAATTACATAGTCTTAATTCTCGTCTTTTTTTAATTGACAACCAAACTATTAAATTAGAAAGCTGAAGTGGAAACCTAAACCGGAGGAATAGTGTTTACAAAGGAAGAAATTTTATTCGTTATTCTAGCGCTATGAACTAAACAGTTTCTGATATGCCGGATTGATGCTTCTTGGATCAATCACGGACTGGTTAGTGGCCTCGGGTGGAGTTTCAAGGATGGCAAAAGAAATGAGATTTTTGGACTACAGGGATGTTGCAGAAGCCTTTCGGCTCTTTACGCTGAGATGGATTGTCTCCTATGGGCGATGTCATGCTTGATAGAAAGACAGATGATTTCGGTTTATTTTCAGACCGACTGTTCGGACCTCGTGAGCATGTCTGAATCTCCAGCAGATTGGTCGTCCTTTATGACAGAGTTGGAATCCCTCCGTATCCTTCGAGAGAGATTTGCAGAGTTCACGTTATCTCATATCTTCAAAACTCTAAATGTTTGGGCGGATAGTCTTGCAAAAGAAGCTCGAGCAAGAGGAATTATTTTTCTCCAAATCAGTCATATCGAGCCGGTTGAGGATGATTCTTGGATCACTCCTCCGACTAGCCATATGTGATGTATTAGTTGGGTAGAGGGAAAAAAAGAATTAAACAGTTGAACAAAAATTTAAAGGATGTGTAATCAAAAAATGAGAAAAGACGGAAACAAAAATAAACTCATTAAAGAAGTGGAAAAAACCATACCACTCCACTGAGGATGTGTCATTCGATAGGATGTTATTGGAGTAAACTTGAAGAAAGTTTAAGCAGCAAGTTTCCTAAATAGATTAAGAATACTTATATTTAAGAGTTATCTAAATATTAGGTGAGTACCTGCGCTAAACGGAGGTTTTTTTTTGCTTAAAATATTTTTTGTGATCTCATATATCATACTATTTATACATAAATGCTAAATTTACATGTGGTTTGAATATAAAGTTTACCTCAGAAAATCAAGACCATGAATATAAAAGAACCAAACATATCTATTAAAATTTGTTGAAATGCCCTGAAAATATATAAGTTTGTGAAAACATCCTTAAATATATGATAGAGATCTTGAAAAATGTTTCTAATGTGCCTTCTCTGGACTTGAGCACTTTCATATTTTATATTTCAGTTGACATCTTTTGATTGACTTCGTTATGCATTCTTTAGAATGTGCATATATCCACTGATGAACATAAATAATTCTGAAAGAATAAAAAGCACACCATAGCAAAAGACATGCTCCAGATTTCGTGCACAATTCACATAATTAATCCAATCTTACGAACGAGAGGCTTAATTAATCCAATCTTACGAACGAGAGGCTTCATTATAAAAAATTTTTCTTTGTTATGAAATGGATGATTATCTATCTAACACTTTTCTTCATAAACAAGTTTATTACTTATCCCAAATATATGTTTGTTATTAACCCACATTGTTGAAGTCTCTTCCAAGTTATTATTATATTAGTTTACATAGTAATATAAATATGTTACTTCAGCTTTGTAAAGAGAAATGATTTTCTTCTCCTCTCCTTTCTCTCATATCTCTCTCTATATAATATAGGGAGGATTATTACACTAACCTTAGAAAGTATCTATATTATTTGTTTGGCGCACTTTTATTTTTTTTACAAAACTAACCTAGCATACCCAAAACACCCTTTTTGCCTTTGTTAAAAAAAACCTAATTATGAAAATGCCATTACTTTTTTAATGCCACGTAGGCAGATTATAGCGCTGAAAATTTGATAAGTCTACCAGGCTTTGACGGTAGACTTATCAAATTTTGGTCAACGCAAAAATTTTGTCGGTAGAGTTATTAGGTCGATGGTAAATTTATTCGAGAGTTGGTAGAGTTTACAAATGTTGGTA